GCCGGCTAGATCAGGCATGATCACAGCCGTAACAAGTACAAGTAAAAGTATATGAGTGGGCTTACGTTAGCTACTTTTGCCATTTTTTGATATTTTCCAACGAGCTAAAACCCGGGGCTTCTCCATCTTTCTCCCAACCCATTTTCCGTTCCCTTTTACATAATTCGGAGCCAGTATCACTACCTGCCCTTTTTCCTCGTCTGAGTTCTACAGAGTCACTTCGTCACTAACATGTAATCAGATTTAAACGTAAGAGGGGTCTTCTGTTCGCTTCAGCCACAAACTCTTGTAGATCAGTAACTCCTATTATGAGCCTATGCTGCTTCCATCTGCATGACTTCTGACGCGATTGCTTTTCTATTCATAGGGAAGAAAGTATGATGGTCCCGAGGTGGACGTGTGGTCCCTAGGCGTCATTCTTTACACTCTCGTCAGCGGCTCCCTCCCATTTGATGGCGAAAACCTACGTGAACTTCGAGAACGAGTACTCACCGGAAAATACCGTGTCCCCTTTTACATGTCCACCGATTGCGAGGCACTGCTGCGGAAGATGCTTCATTTAAATCCGCAAAAACGACACAGTCTGGAGGTAACTTGAAACCTATATTTTCCTTTTGGATGGATTTTGGCCTGCTTGTTGTTTTAATTCAACGTAAAAACCTTAGTGAGACGCCCTTGTTGCTTTGTGCGCCAAAATACATTTGTTACTATTTTCATCTGAACTACGATCTTCTCATTCTCTCAATTAAGCTCCAGGCGAGCAGGTTCGTGGAATTGGGTGTTTCCTGTTCTACAGAGTAAAACAAATATCAAGTTAGTATCATGCAAGCCGTAGTTTGCTGCTCTCAAAACTTCCGAAAGAGACAGAAACATGTGACATGTGGTATTCGCGAACGTCATCTGTCTGCGTCACTTATCGCAGTAGAAAAATCGAAACGCTTTCACGAACACGTTCTTCGTATTTTGCGGCAGGACCAAATCGTTATTTGCACAATCGTGAGAAATTTTTTCCAGTGCTGTCACTTCATGGGCCGATGGCTACTTCGCCGTGTTTTATTTCAGTGCCGATTTGTCGTTCGCCCTAATGCCAACGCGCTGGGTTGGCGGTAGTTTGTGGCTACAGATAAGAAATACTGAATCTCTACCCCTGCGCTCTTCGGTCACAGAATACCCACGCCTGTTTAGGCAAAAAGTGGGGATTACAGGACTTAGTTTTAATAAGCCCAATAGAAGAGTTTAACTTTACAGTGGAAGCCTGTTAGGGCGGCAGACTACCTTTCACTTGGAACACTTGGTGCTATTTTTCAGGTAGTTATATTAGTGAATTAAGCAGCGATATTTACGCTCGGGGCGCGACTTCAAATTAAAACCGTACAAAAGCTGTTGACACGCGATTTATAAGATATTTTGGTGTTTAATTGGAATCATCTGCAAAATAACTACTCCGGTTCGCAGCTAAATCGGAACATATTTTAATCTTTTTAGTGCAATAACTGACTTCAAAGCCATTTCAACGGTAATTTTATAAAAGACAGGTATTACCATGTCAGTTATTAACATGCGAAAACCTAATGTAGGCTACATAAGGGATGGTGCGCAATAAACGTATCCACCCGGTTCAGTGATATTTTTGTGGTCGACCGTTCCACAATTGTGTTCTTGCCTGCTCCGTCGCGTATGTTGCCTCTTGATGCATAGCATTGGTTAGCAGTTTATCTGTGGCAAAGTGACCTTGTTAGGCAACCCATCGTCCAACCACATCGACCAACTGGGGGTGACCGTGGGTCCACGCCACCGACACCTCATGCACCTCTGACCGTATCGATCTGTCTCCCGCCTACTGCCCTTTACAATCACCTCCCCTAGGCTGTAGAATCCCCTTTGGAATTGAGGTTGACGTACTTTGGTGCATCGAAAATGGCGAATCTTCGTTTTTGCCCTCACTGCCGATCGTTGGCTCCCGCGCGAGTCAAACGAATCATATATTATTTCCGATTTCTCACTTCTTATTTAAAAATATTGTTTCCAATTTTCAATAAAGGAAACGTTATTTACTTTTAATATTTGAGAATTTTACCGACTGCAAAATAAGTTCCACAGTTTAATCCCGACAGTTGAGGTTCATGGCTCATATCGCCGTGTACTGGACTAAAAAAGGGCAGACGCATGGCCACACTCCGTGACCTTGACATTGGCCCTATCGCCTTTTGTGAAAAGTCATCTCTTTATCAGTAAAAGTCTGAAGTGTAAACGCGGAAGACGTTTTCTTTGCTCGTTAACCTGTTAACTGTTCCGAATTGAGACTAAAGTTCTCGTCCCTAGCGCTCATAGATTATTAACACTAACATTTAATAACCTCCTCTGTGTATGGATAGATAGCCCCAGGTTACCAGAGGTCCACGCATTTTTTTCCTGAACCTTGCCGTATTAAATTGAGTTGTTGCTGGAGGTTTAAAAATGCTTTCACGGTAGCCTTAAAATTCGTAATTATCCATTGTATGTTTTGTAGCTCATCGGCTAGCCTTTTACTTGGTCCCTTCCTTAAATTCTCCCTAACATGTCGCATTTTCTTTCTCACAGTCGGTTATGAAAGACAAGTGGATGAATACAGGGTACGAAAATGATCCACTGACCCCATACGTCGAACCAACACCTAATCTCGAGGATCCCAGGCGCATTGAAATCATGGTTAAATTGGGTTTCAAAAGGCAGGACATTATCGAGTCCCTACGATCGGAAAGCTTTGATGCTATTGCAGCCACATACTTTCTCCTCGATCCTCGGAATTCGAGGGTGGAATCTGACTCAAATCGTAGCAGTGAAACCTCCCTGCGGTAAGACGGAATTTTATTGCAAGAGTTCCTCTAGACTTTGACAGTACTCTTACCAGTCATGTAATAACTCCGTTTAAGCTAGCGTTGACTATGCCCTGTTCAATGTCGTCGTACTAAGCAACCAGGTCTG